CGATAAAACAGTGTACAATTCTGTCTGAAGTCCCTAGAATGACTAAATGAGAAGCTGGTGTAAAACAGAGCAGACAGCTGGAATTAAATGCCCTCATTCTTGTTCGTTTCTGGTGAAAGAAGGAGAACAGAGTGTGGCCCTCTAACCTATCCTCCATCCCATTTAGGAACCCTTCCTTCCCTTTTAATCAGGGGGAATAATTATCAAAGTGGACAGGTAATTAAATTAAAACATAAGTGGCTACATGAGCCGGGTTGGCTGTACTACAAGGTTTTTTCGGGCTTAATTAAAGAGAAATATGGGAGTGCTCACCCACGGTGTCACAGAGCTGGTATAAACGAGGAAAAAAAACCTTCCTGTCACCAACTCTAATAACTCATTTCTGATCTGCTCAACGCAGGATTTTGGATTACATTAAAGAGCTGGTGGGAGTTTGCTGTTTCGGTTCAGATCCGAGACAGTTGTTTGTTTCCAGAGGAAAGCTAAAGCACATGTGGTAGTGAGCATGGGTTGATAGAGTGCAGGATGTTTGGTACCAAAGCCAAAGAAAGGGAAAAAAATGTCGTACGCTTTCACAGCCATCTGGGAATAATGTCTTAAAATAAAGCTACAATAAAATAAAGCTTACAGCTGTTGATGTTTACAAACAATCCCCACAAAATCCCCACAGCGCCTCAAGAATCAAACCCTACACACACATACACACACATATACAAATAAACAAAGTCAGTGTGGGAATGCTGCACTTCAGCAGAAATTATCCAAACATTCACAAACACATGTGCCCACACCCACTTTGCTTCACATCTGAGTGTGCTTGTTTACAAATAAAGACAAAGTGGGAAGACGGCACACACACACACACCAGCACACAAGCGAACCAATGTTGCCTTTGTGGTTATGCAAAGACGACAACAAACAGTGGTTCGAAGTAATACAAGAAAAACAACAAAACATGATCTGTGTCAAACATTTGCAGACCTACAGAAAAATCCCTGTAGGCAAAGTCATGTTTCAGTGTCCAGTGCTTTGCAGAAATATTCATCACCCTTGAAACTACATATTTTGTCATGTTACAACCATAAAATTGGGATTGGGATATGGTAGACCAACAAAAAGTAATCCCTGATTATGAGGTGGAAGGAAAAGTAAACAGATTTTCAATATTTTTATTAAGTGTGGCATGATTTGTTTTAGGTCAAACCTTTGTAAAACTGCCTTTTGATGCAATCAGAGCTTTTGCCTTCTAACTCCTGCCTTCTAGATCCTGTTTAGAGATGCTAGAAAGCATCTGTAAACAGTAATTTTTGAGTCTAACCACAGACTTTCAATTGGATATGCTGTGATTTTACCCATTCAACTGTAGCTCTGGCTGAAGCTTTGGTCGCTGTCCTGTTGGAAGATGAATTTCTGTGCCAGTCTCTTTTGGCAGTCTCTAATAGGTTTTCTTTAAGTACAGCCCTGGATTTAGCTCTATCCATCTTCCCATCAGGTCTGACCAGCTTCCCTGTCACTGCTCAAGAAAGCTTCCCCAAAGTGTGATGCTGCCACCACAATGCTTCACTGTGGCAAGCATTTTGCATGTAGGGCAAATTATTCATTTTTGGTCTTATCTGACCATTGAGCTTTCTTCCACATGGTTGCTGTTTCCTCTACATCGCTTGGGCCTTCTTATGGTTTTCCTTCAAGAACAGCTTTCTTCTTACTACTTATCCATACAGGCAGGATTTGGGGATCATACAACAAGAACTTGTCCTGTTTCTCAGCTTCTCCCACCTAAGTTGAAGATCTCTGCAGCTACTTTGGAGATACATGGACCTCTTGGGGGCTTCTATGAGTAATTGAAGTTTGTAGTTATAAGGTGTCAAAATGTGGGGTGTGAATACTTCTGCTAGGATCTGTAGCTTTCATTCAGAGAATAACATCTGGATAATTGTCTGAATATGTATTGCTGGTATTCTAACAGCCAATAACCACCTGCTTTCTATTAGCCTCTCATAAACATGTTTACTGTCCCAGCTGCTCCGCATCAAGAAACCCCTCACCCACACACAAACACACACACGCACACACACACACACCCACATTGAAGTGAAAACGGAAGCGAAGATACACAGAAGATTTGTTTATCGGTACTCTGTGCTCTTCGTGGCCTTTTGTTGGAAGTAAATAATTAGGGAATCCTCACCAAGGAAGCAATGCAAATGTTAACAAGCTGTTTTAACACACACTTCTTCCTCATGTGCAGAGATAGGATCATGCTGTGCACCTCAATGACTCACTCTGTTTTAAGGCATTTGCAACCCGGTGGTCTAGACTCCAGCTGGTGTGTGAACCTAATAACAGGTATCCACTATGGACTATAAGTACTTCAAAACAACAAAAAAGCAAAGAGGTGAAGGTATAAATATGAGGATTTTTTTCTTCAAACATTAATAAAACTCATCTCTTTGAAAGTAAATTTTCAGAAAGATAGAGTCTCAACTTTAGTAAAAAAAAAGGTGTGTGTTCATGGCTGAAGGATTAACCATCCAAGTGGCTGTTGACTCAAAGATGAAAAAGGATTACGACTGTAATTTCTTTTAACTTTCTTAGTGAAAGTCAGTTTTGCGCATTGCATTTTGAGTTTTAAGCACAAGGGATGATTGTCGTTCATAATTCATCGTGATTATGTTGTAGTTTTTTTTTACTTTTCTTTGTTAGGAGTTCTGTTTGGGCATTTATTACACTATAGAACTGAGGAAATAGTGGTGAGAACCAAAGAACAAAGAACATGTACATTGCTTTACATCTGCTTGGTGGGAAAGGGATTTCATCTGTCTTTAACTGCCTTTTTCTGTTCACAGGATTCATACAGTCTACCAAAAAGTAACTATTTTCCAGGAAAAGCATGGAAAAATCTGATAGGTGTATGGAAAATATTTGTATTTCAAAGACTCTATTCTCTGTCTCGTTGTCTAAACATTGTCCTTATTTCTTTGTGTCCCTGCTATTTTCCTTATGTCCTTCCTTTGTTTCTTACCTCCTGTGTATAACCTTATTTTCTTTTTCCTTCTTCATTTTTTATGTCCTTTGGTCCTTCCATGCTTGTGTCCTCCCTTATTTTATTATGTCCTCTTTCCTTCCTTGTGTCTTCCATTCCTTTCTTCCGTTACTCTGTTGTCCTGTTGTTTTTTCCCTTCTCCTTTCTTGCATTACTCTAGCACTGCATCATTGTGTACTTCCTCGTTTTTGAATGTCTTTAATGTAAAAGTCAAGCGTTTTGTGCCAACAACTATATCAAGGAGGAAACTATTATGTGCATGTTTTAGTTTTTAGGAGCTACTGGTTATACCAAATATCATATATAATATAATGAAACATGTATAAAACATGAAAAATAAGTAACTTCCTTAATAAAGGTGATCACAGCAGAGATTAGAAATCTATGAGAAAGGTATTACACTTGACATGTTTTGTTACATCTAAAATCAACATTAGTAGCATAATATTTTATTAAAAAACACTTGTCTACTTTTTTGTGTAGGTACATGAACTTTGATGACATTCTATTCTTAACCTAAAAGGTCTAGTTTGTTGGTGGACCCACTGTTCCCAGCATTAACAACTTTAACTATTCTGTAACCCTTCTCCACAAGGTTTAGGAGTGTGTTTATAGTTAGATGAAAAACTCGAATTACATCCTCTGCTCTAGTGTATATTTGATTATGAAAAATTTTATTGCGAAAATGTGATGCATTTAAGGAAACGTACATAAAACCGAATAACAATCAAGCAGTTTAAGCTGTAGAACAGGGCCTTCATGGGGCCTGTTTATGTACAAATTAATTAAAAAACCTTTTGGGAAAATCCTTGCAAATCCTGTCGTTTTCCCACTTACCTGCCAGACGTACAGGCCCACTGTCAAATGGAAACACAGATATACACACACACACACACATACACATTTGCAAAGACTGCCATCCACTCCCCCGTGCGATCTTGTATCAAAGCAAACAAATGACATGCTCTCTTCTCCTTTTTCTCCCCCCACTGTCTTTTTTGATGTGCGGTTGTGTAAAATGACACGCCATATCTCTCCAGCTGACATTATCACTCGCCAGCGCGCTCACATCTTCCGGCCGTCCGCCTTTCCCACAGGACTCGCTACAGCAGGGGTCTTTGTCTCTGAAAGCATCACACACACACTCAAGGCACACACACACTAAAAAAAGATGTGGAAAAGCCTCCACTGTTTTACCTTTGCATTGTGTTCTGTCAGGACTGGTTTAAGCGATGACAAAGAGGCGGTGTATGGAGAGATGCAGAGGAAGGATAGCAAAGACTTGGCATTTCTTTGGTGGGGCGGTTGTGTGTGTGTTTCTAATGATGTGATGTGCAGCTGCCTAGTTTTCTAATACAGCAAGCAGAGTTGTAACCCAGAGAGCTTGGTCACATTAGTGTGACTGTCAGTGTGCAGCTGACAAATTTAACAAGCCTCATAACCAGCTCGAGAGCAGATCAGCGAATAGGTGACTGACGTGTTTTTTTTACAGAAACACAATACTTAGTAAGAAAGATATGCAGTGCTTTCCAAAAATATTTATACCTCCTGAACTTTTTCATACTTTGTCACGTTACAACCACAAACAATGTATTTTATTGGTTTTATGTGATGGTCCAGTCAAAATATTTACAAATACAAATGTAAAACTTGCAACTGGCTTGCATTTATATTCAGCCTTCCTGAGGTAAATTTAACTTTAACTGAATTTACAACAGGAAGTTGTCATGCTCCATTGGTGTTTGTGTTTTTGGCTCTCACTTTTTTTATAATTTGATTACTTTTGGTGGTTGATTATTATCACTCAGGGTGTGGTATACTGGGTTAATTTCTTTGTGCTGAGTTTTTATGTCTTTCTTGAGTTCTGTTCTCAAGATGAGAGTGAGAGTTTAGACTCTCATTCTAATTGTTAGTCTTTTGCTATTGGTTAGTTGATCCTTTTGTGTTGTGTCGCGAGGCGAGTGTGGCTCAGTAGGAAGAGTAGTTGTCTTGCAATCAGAAGGTTGTGGGTTCAAGGCACTTAACCTCAAGTTGCCTACCGATTTGCGTATCAGTGTATGAATAAATGGTAAATGGACTGAACTTATATAGTGCTTTTCCAGTCATACAGACCGCTCAAAGCGCTTTACACTGAAGCCACATTCACCCAATCGCACTCACTAACGCTCACACATTTATACACCGATACGCAGATCGGTAGGCAACTTGAGGTTAAGTGCCTTGCCCAGGGGCACATCGACATATGGCAGGAGGAAGCTGGAATCGAACCCACAACCTTCTGATTGCAAGACGACTACTCTTCCTACTAAGCCACAGTCGCCTACAAAATTCAGTTCAGTTCTAGCGAAGCAGCCAGAAAATCCAATTGCTTTAATTAAGTTGAAGAGTCACTGGTCATTTGGAAAAATGGTGGCACAAGCCCTGCAATGCTTTGTGTGAATATGTGAGCGTTAGTGAGTGCGATTGGGTGAATGGGGCTCTAGTGTAAAGCCCTTTGAGCGGTCCGTATAACTGGAAAGGCGCTATATAAGTTCAGTCCATTTACCATTCTTATTTCCTCTGTCTTAATTTCTCTGCTCCTCAGTTTCCAATCTGACGATCCCCAATTCCTCTTGTGCCTGTTCCTCATCTGTTTTCCAATAAACCTTATTGCATGTAATATAAGGCTGCATTTCTCTTATCTTTATTTGGGTCCATCTCCACAGCAAAATATGACACAGCTTCACACATTTACAGACTGAAATTCTTGACCTTTCTTCTTTGCAGAATAGCTCAAGCTCAGTCAGATTGGATGGACTTGACCTGGACTGGACCTTTCTCACACATGAATATGTTAATTGAATCAGTTCTATTTTAGCACTGGATGTATGTTTAGAATCATCTTTCTAGCTGACAGGTGAAAATCAGCCCTACAGTCTTTTGTAGCTTCAGCCAGAGATTCTTGCACTGTTGCTTTGCATTTAGCTCTGTCCATCTTCCCAATAACTCTGACATTGGTCTACATTCTATCTACTAAAGAAAAACATCCCCACACCATGATGCAGCCACTATCATGTGTTAGTAGAGGGGATGTATTTATGGTAATATGCAGTGTTAGTTTGTTGCCACAGTGTTTAACATGTATGCCAAAAATTCTAATTTCAGTATCTTCTAACTAGAGTAACTTTTTCCACATGTTTGCTGGGTCCCCTCCATGGCCGGCGGCAAACTGCAGACAGGACGTCTAAAAGCCTTTTATCAACAAGACCTTTCCTCTTGCCACCTACTTTTACTATGTTTTTTTCACTGCTGGTTCCATGTAACCATCAATTACAATCAATACATTCAAAAATCTGATCAAGTACATTTATTCTGTGTTTAGCAGTACAGTTGCATTACTTGACGTACCGGTAAGTTGTATACTGAAGTAGCCTGTTTGAAAATAGGAAAGTCTTTTTTTAAAGCAGTTTTTGTGTTTATAGGGCTCAGTCACGATCCACTGGTGTTAATGTTCTGATTTTCATCTGTGTTTTCATTTTGGTCATTTTCTTGTTAGGTCTTTCACACATTTCCCGTGCAATGAATTGCACAGGATTTACATTAGAGGTATTAGGATAAAGGGGGCCAAATATAGACACACACTACACTTTTGACATTTTAATTTGTAAAAAACCTTTCAAAAAACATCTCTATAATTTCCACCCCACAACAATGCACTTCTTTGGGTTGATCTATCACTTAAATTCCAAGTTAAACACAGTGATGTTTTTTGTTTTTTATATCACAAAATGTGAAAAAGTTTAAGGGGAACAAATATTTTTGTAAGGCAAACTACACTTCTTGCAAACTACACTTTGTACATTTAATAGTAAAACTTAAATTATTGAAACATTTTAATACCATAACGTCAATCAAGCATCCACAGTGTTGGACATAAAACTTCACTCAGGCTGTAAAATATAATGTCAAAAACAAGCTTATGTTTTAGATGTTGAACAAAACACATATTTTTCTTTATTTTCAATAACTCACCTCTTCTACCTCCACAACCAATATCGTTATTTCCTGTTATGTTGTCTGCAAAAGCACTCTTTATACAAGTTAATTCAGTTGGTCTGAATAAAAAAACACTGATTTAGTGTTCTGTAGTTTTATAACCTTGGAGGTTTATTACTATTGAGGGCAACATGTTTTTCATATAGGTGTTGATGCAGAATTCATTTTTGCTGGTTATTGACATTTATGTTATCTGTTTGTGTATATGAGCTGCTTAATGATTTGTTTTGACCTCCATGTGTGGCGTCCAAGACTATTCATGTGCTTCTCTTTACCTCAACTTAATGCCAGCAGTTTCACCAACAACTGTTCATGAATACTCTATGTGTGTTAGACAGAGTAATAAATCTTTTAGAGTAATGTCCTTGTTATTTGCTTTATGTAGGCACAAAATAAAAATAAGTGCAGCAAATCAGCTGGTATCCAGCTAACCGTCTTCTATACCTGCTTGAGCTTGTTCAGGGCCATGGGGGAAGAGAGCACAATCTGGACAGGTTCCCAGTCAATCAAAGGCAGGATCCATGCAGTCATGTTATGTTTAGAATTCCCATTTGCATGTAGACTGGATAGTAATACAGTGCTGAATACTGGCACCTCTGGCAAATATTTGCAAAAAGGCTTAAAATTAAATCATATTCTATTGTAGTAGCATAATCTTTAACCAAATCTTTATTTAGAGTGGAAAGTAATAGTTTTTTATCACCAGTGTCAGAATTATTGATAACCCTAACAATCCAATTAAAATAATTGTAACATAAGCATTTTTACTTATATTTTACATTTTAAAGTTGATCAGAATTTCTAGGAACTTTCTTTAGCAACAGCCTGTTTGCATGTGGTATAAATATGGCAAGACACAGAATCCCGTTTCTTCACTAGCTACATGCTAATCGATTGCTTTAAAAGCAAGGCTTTTCTGGCCCAACACTGCAAAACCTTAACATGCAAAGTTTGCTAAACTCCAACTGGTTTTTAACTGAAAAAACCGTGTGCTTTGGTACAGAAAGAATCCAATTTATTAAGGTTAGCCTGACACTCTCTTAGCACTTAATTTAGAAAGGGAATGTCAGCCTTATTTGAGAAATGGGACATTACTTGAGCAAGCATGATCGGTTCTAACGCATGCATATTATGTAAACATATGTGATTTAATATGCAAATATATCAGCTATCATTCCAGCATGTAATTTTAGGTTAGACAGAGAGAGAGAGAGAGAGAGAGAGTTCACGACACACAACATAAATGATACATTTCCAATTACCATCTCAAACCCCAAAACTAAATCCTATAGAAAACCTGTATATTGGCCAGAAGAGAACTTTGAAGTGGACCTATGACTCTACAAAATCTGAAGAACTCAAGAGGAACGGTTTAAGAGCTACACGGTGGCACAGTTGGTAGCATGCGTGGGTCTTCTCCTGGTACTCCGGCTTCCTCCCAAAGCCCAAAAACTTTTAGATTAATTGGTCTCTCTAAATTGCCCTTTGGTATGAATAGGTGTGTGCATGGTTGTCCTGTGTGCCTCTGTATTGCCCTGCAATGGCTGGCAACCTGTCCAGGGTGTACCCTGCCTCTCGTATGTAGACTGCTGGAGATAGGCACCAGTTCCCCTGTGACCTAGTGCGGAAGAAGTGGGTAAAGAAGATGTCAAGAAATGTATTCAACACTACGGCCCAAAATACCTAAATAATCCTTTTAGGATAAGCTTGTTCACTAATAGCTGAAATGGGAAAGAAATGAACGTTTAAAAAGAGGTTTCTAAAATAAGCAAACAAAATAACAAATGACAGTTTTTTAATTCATGAAAAGTTTCTCATCAGCTCATATTGCTCTTTAACACACTAGTAAAAAAGATGCCACATGCAAGTCATAATTCATAAGGGAGGAACACAGTAAGGACTGCCAGAGGTCATCCAATTGCTCCACTGCGTCTTGTCCTGTCAAATGCTTATGTGAGCCCATCTTGAGACAATTTCAATATTCATCCTAGAAGACTTTTTGTCTTGGGCCACATTCTTCTAAATGTATCTCCCTGGTTCTAATTCCCCTTCACCATACATCTTGCTGGGCCTCCTCATCATGTCATATGTTCCTTTTCTATTTCCCCTGTGTTTGATTCTGACAAATACATGGATTATCGACCAGGGGGATTTTCAAATTTATGGCTAATGTGAGCTTTCATGCCTGTGCTTTAATCTGCTGAGTATTTAAAACCAATCTTAAGGACGAGGGAGAAAACGCAGAGGTCAGGCTTTTTTTTTTTCCAGCAGACGACACCAGAGAAAGGAGAGGGAGCCAAGATGGAGAGAGGGAGACAGAGCGAAAATGTAAGCGAACACAGAGAAGTGAAAGAAAGACAATGATTTCCCCACTATTTGAATTCTAACAAGGATTAACTGTGAAATCGCAGGTATCAAACCTCATCTGGAAGGACGGCTGAAGAGTAGTCCTTCAAAGGAAGAAAAAGTTGGTCTCCTCACTGGGGTTGTGTGAGAGTGTCAAAGAAAGACTCTGATTTAAGGGTGTTTCTATGCGTTTTCACTTTTCATGGGCTGGCCCCTCTAAGAGAAATTGAAATTAGAAAAAAAAAGTGTCCCTCACTTGCTTTTTAACAAGACAATGACACATTACAGTGAGGGATGAAAGTTTCATCATGTGTCCATGTCCGTCCAGTTCCTCTGCTGTCAAATTGTCGTCTTCTCATTTACAATTCAGACACCTTCAACTCCTTTTTATGGTCTTTCTTCCACAATTCCTTTCATCTTTCTTCTTGTTTCTACACCTCTCTTGTCCACAAGTATTCGTCTCCTGTCCTCTCGACTCCTTTTTCTCTCAATCTTGTCATTTCGTCTGTGTGTTACAGTCAGTTATGGCAGTTAAAGGGGCCCTGTGTGCATCTGGTATATCAGGCTAAAGAGAGTGGCATTACTTCTACAGCTTTAAAATGCATCAAGCTACTTTCAGACCTTGATTTTATGGCCATAATAAGAGGTACTTAACATACTGCAGCCA